TTTTGAATTTTAATGAGGTTTATATTTCGGTTCCTAAAGATTTTTGAATCATCCTAACTTTAGTTATAACCACTCACCAGCCACCAGATTATACAGATCTGTAACCAGAATGAGATCTAAAACAGAAGTTGTACTAAAAGATAATATGCTTTTGAAAAGGTGATAATACTTGGATACCACCAGAAAAGTATTCATTCACCAATGCTGTGTCTTTATTATTATAGTGGTTTGGCTTGTGCTAGAAAAAAAGCTGATTCTCATTACGCAAATCGCCATCAAATGTTTGTCCATTATAGAGACGTTGAAGACATGAGCCTTTACTTCAGACTATACAAGTTAGATTTTAATCTATTTGTCTTGGACACATACACTCATTTTGGCTTCTCATTGTCTGACAATCTACCTGCTGCATTGAGCGCTGTTTTACTCACAGTAAATGGTGAGGACAACAGCAGCTATGAGTAGAACAGCATTGAGGAGGCCCAGAAGCAGAAGAGTCACCTTGTGCTGTGGAATCCAAGATCCAGCTCCTGCTATAAACATACCTTGATAATGTTTTGCTGGGTTAAAGATACCTACAAAATGTTCAAAAATCCCCCAAACATCTTGAGAGTTCCTCAAACAATGACCACACACCAGTGCGTTACCAAACAGCTACACTGATAGACAAAGTGGACCTCAAAGTTAGTCATTAAGTGCAGCGCAAGAAAATGTTAAAATCTCAAAGTATACCTTGTTGAAATTTCTGAGAGGGCGAATGCCGATGTGTGTGAAATTCTTCCAAAATCTCTTGCTCCACTGGAGTTTCCGCACCTTGGTCTGGCTGCGACTGAATGTTCTCCATTGTACTTTTGTGCTAGTGGTGCATATTGATCTGGTCAACTGGTGATAAGATTTGTGTGTGTGTGGGTGTGTTTTGCCATGAGTTGCGTTAAAGCAACAGTAAGAAACTTTTATTTTTTATTTTTTGCTGCTGTTAGCATTATGGAAACGGCTAACTGGAGGCCCACACCCATGCTCAGAGTGGCCCTTGATTAATTTTTGAAATTAAAAACATTTACAGTCCTGTAGTAGAACTGTTTTGTCATAACAATCTATAAGAATTGTGTCTATCAGCCATGAAAGATTTCAACCAAGTCAAGTCACCACGACAACACTGATCTCAAAAGTACACAAAGAACACTTTTTTTTCTTCCCAAGAACCGTTAACAATTTGTTTGAAGTGCATGGGGAGTTATTCAAAATGGGTCCTGTATGGTGGCACCCGTGATGATGCAGAAGGGACTCATTGTGGACAGTCTTTATTGCCCTACAATGTACTGTGTTCACATAATGAACAGCTTTTTAATTTGGGGGTGTTGAATTTCATGCGGGGCAAACATACAGTCATAAAATATGTAGTGTGAGTTGATTTTTGTGAAAACAGAAGGTCAATTTTTATGCAGGAGAGCAAGGGAATCACATAATTGGTTAATTGGTTTGCTTCAAAGCCTTTAGAACTGAGGAGTGGGTTTTACATCGCAGCATTAAAAATGCAGGAGAGCAAGGGAATCACATAATTGGTTAATTTTAGTTTGCTTCAAAGCCTTTAGAATTGAGGAGTGGGTTTTGCATCGCAGCATTAAAATATATTTTAAAAATACACATATTTTGCCCTTAAAATGACTGTTTCTGTGATACGTCTGGCTAGGAAGTGCGCGGTTCTAAGTGTGTCCACGTTAGCGCTGATGGAAAAAAAAAAACATGTACGGGTGGGCCCTAATTGAAGGCAACCATTCCAGGCTGCACCTGTCAATCTGGGATACGCCACAGCTCACCTGTGACCCTAATGAGGACATGCAATATGGAAAATGACTGAATGACATTTATTGCAATCACCTATTACTTTGTAGTACAGTCTGCACAACAGTTGAGAACATTTCCTCATAGTCATTTTGGTTTCTTAAATGGAAAAAAGGTCTATATCTGTGGAAAGTTTTCACATTCAAAATCTAGATTTTTACTGTTCACAGAAATATCCAAGGAGGGTGAGACTGTTTTTTCACTGAGGATTACGTGGGGATTTTTCACAAATCCATTTACCACTGTTTATACAGCCAATGCTAATCCAAGCACTGAAGACGTTTTCTGTGCTATATAAAGCTGCACAGTCCTGATGAACATCATCACTTGATTCTCCATCGGCCCAGTACCTAAGGCAAATGATAAACACACAGCAGTTTCAGAACGGTACATAACTTTGCCTCGTAAATATCTGAATGGATGATGAAGCATCACATATGGATTATGTAAAAGGATAATAATCAACCCATCCATTATGTATAACTGCAAATCCTGTTCAGGTTTGCAGGGCCCTGGACCCCATCCCAGCTGACAACAGGCAAATGGTTGGTCAAGTCAATCATGTGACCAGAGGGTATAGTAACATGCTACATTTGCTCCGCTGCAGTTACTCAAAGTACCCGTGGGATAAATTTTAATGCAAGATGCTTTTTATTTTTATTTGAGTGTTTATGTCGTCCAGCATAGCAACTTGTGACGTTTGACTCAATTTCACCTATCACCAGGCAGTGACATGACTGCAAAGGGCTTTAAGTCAAGGCCAAGGTGCGTTGTCAATGCATGTACACATTTATAAAAGGGTGGTTTGCGCCAATGTGGGCGTGAACACAGTTGACTCCATGACAATCAAAGCAGCTCCACATTGACTTTAAATGTGGCGCTCTCCCATTTCGCATGAAAACATCTCTGTGCAGAAAAAGAAACAACAATCCATCACTGTTTTTTTGTTTGTTTGTTTTTTGCTGGTGTAGCACCAGTCAAAATTTAGCAGATGCAATCATAAAACGCATAATGAGCTGCTGGCGGCTTAAATACATCTGTGGACCTCGTGTATCCGTTAAACTGAAGTACCACTGTCGTCGCTTACCCTTCAACCAGGTCTCTTCCATCCGTCCATCTCCAAAGTTCTTCATTGTGAAAATACAATCCAATCCAAAAGTTGTAGGAATTCACTGATAAATCTGCGTGCCCTCTCAGGTAATTTATGGTTGCAATCTGACAAAATATTCATGTTAAATAATTATTATCATAACATATTGTAGTATTTTTTTGCATACAATGAATGAGAAGCAGGTTGTGCTCGTGCCACCTCTTCCTCTATGCTGTCGATGGCTATAAGATCACCTCCGTACATCTGACAGAAATCGCGAGCATTTTGCCACGATTTCTGCCTATCGGTTCGAGACAAGGCGAAGTAGTAGCACGCAGAGTTCATCAAAATCCATCCAATTGGACAATAACTGCAGCCATTCGCTGTTGACAAAACGGTTCAGTGACAGGTGAAACAAACCACAACAAAACGGTCTTTTGACAATATACTGTTAAACTGGTCTCACCAATGACTGGTAAGTAAGATTTTAGATACGTGACGTCCTTCATTATTTTATCGAGTTGTACTTCGTAGTCTTTAGTCCTTCTTTTGTGGTGTTCAAACTCCCAGTTGCTCTCTGTTTGTCTTCTCGTTTCACCGTCCAGCCGCTTGTTGGCTTCACTCATGTTTCTGACGGCAGACTTGTAGGATTCCTGGAGTTTGATCAGCTCTATCTCAATAAGTTCTGCGTCATCAACATACCGGTGAGTATCGTGACGCATGATATCTGCAAGGACAACCGAAATAAGTTTGGGTTTTTTGTTTGCGTTTATTTGTTTGTTTGTTTGATTTTCCATTCGCAGTAGAGCTGTGACGGGGCAGAATACAGCATAAGGACACATCATTTACTGATCTCCAGAGACAGACAATCATTCACATCCACACTGTTACTAAGAGAGAAGTTTAACCATGCTGCCTCGATGCCTATACAGGTGTCAGGCAAGTACACTTCAACATCAGTGACGATTGTTTTGCTTATATACAGTCAATATATCCAAAGGTTATCTAGAACATCCTATTCATGTTATAACAAAAGTCATATGACACGAACCATTATCATGTTACTTACTTTGGTTGAGCAGGAGAATATCAACAATCAGTAAAATGGCAGCAAGTATCGCCAGGTTCGCGATCGCTGCTTTGTAAAGTATCACACGGGATGCTGAAATGACAGATGTGAAATTAACATTCAAATTGTGTGTCTTTCAGTTTTTATTTTGTGATTTTATTCCATAAAGTTGTTTCAGCTGATCAGGCAAAAACATAACAAATTTCTCACTCAAGAATCTGTTCCTCTTTTAAAATTACCCATACAGTACCTTGTTGCCTTTTTTTTCTCGCAGGTTCCACGTCATCCTCATTTTGAGAAAGCAGCGTGTCGAATCCGCGGTTTGAATCCAAATCAGTCATTTCTCTCCTTTGCTTCCGTCAGGTTTGCTGTGAATTTCTCTGTGCCTAACTATTTATGTCACCCCGACCATACAATTGTCCTCCATTGCTCAACTCACCAATATTCAGCGAATAAATTGGGAAATGAGAAGCAATTGCCACTGAAGAATCAGCCAGTGGAAAAGAGAAGAGAAAGTCTTGAAATAGGGAAGAAAATACTTCCCTTTGAAGATACAGTTTCAGGCAAACCTTGTGATTTTGAATTCAGACAAATACATGGCTCTTTTCTGTCACTACATATAAATGACCCTTTTCAAGCTATTTATCAATATTATCCAAGCAGAGGAAAAGGTCAGGTCTCACTTGCTGCTTTCAGACTCACCAACTGACAGAGGAAAACTGTGAACCCTGAACACAAAACAGGACAAGCATTATGAGAGAAATGAGAGATATAATTTAATTAAAAAAAAACATTCATGCAAGTCTGACTATAACCAGGACGGGGGCTGCAAGGGAGTGCCTCCCCATTTTTCTTAAGTGCAATATACAAACATGAATAGACATATTTTTCCCCCTGTGGCGCAACTGGCATCCAGCAAAGATATGTTTTGTCTGTTTTATAATCCCATGATATCAGAGTACCAGGAGGAATCAGGAGCAGAGTGACTTTTTTTGCCTTCACATTAGAGCATAGTTCATATGCTGCTGCGATAGAATGCATACATTTTGTAAGTGAAAAGAAATGTTTTGCTAACAACAACACTGTTCTTAATGTCCCCTTCACGACTGTATGCAGGTATATTTTATTCATATGTATATAGTTGTTACTGCACTTCTAATATTGCAGTTTTAATTTTCAAACGCATCTGCTAGTGTTGGGCGGCCCGGTGGTTGAGTAGTTAGCGTGACGACTTCAGAGTGCAGAGGTACTGGGTTCAATTCCAGCTCCAGCCTTCCTGTGTGGCGTTTGCATGTTCTCCCCGGGCCTGCATGGGTTTTCTCCGGGTACTCCGGTTGCCTCCCACATTCTAAAAACATGTATGGCAGGCTGATTGAACAACCAAAATTGTCCCTAGGTTTGAGTGTGAGCGTGGATGTTTGTTCGTCTATGTGTGCCCTGCGATTGGCTGCCAACCGGTTCAGGGTGTCCCTTGCCTACTGCCCGAAGATGGCTGGGATTGGCTCCAGCATCCCCTGCGACCCTTGTGAGGATAAGTGGATCGGAAAATGGATGAACGGACCTGCTAGTGTTGTTGATCTGTGTCGTCATCAAATACATTGCAGTCACCATCATATCATATGTGTTGTACAGTATTTTGTTTATATATGATTTATGTTGGGCGGAACGACGGTTAACACATCTGCTTCACAGTGCAGAGGTGCAGGATTTGATTCCGGCTCTGGCCTTCCTGTGTGGAGTTTGCATGTGTCTCCCTCCACCTTGTGTCTGTGTGAGCTTTTTCCGGGTACTCAGGTTTCGTCCCACGTTCCAAAAACATGCATCATAAGTTGGTTCAACACTTTAAATTGTCCCTAGTTGTGATTGTGAGTGCGACAGGTTGTTTGTCCCTGTGTGCCCTTGATTGGTTGGCAAGCAGTTCAGGGTGTACCTTCGCCTTCTGCCCAAAGACAGCTGTGATAGGCTTCAGCACGCCCGCGACCCTGTGAGGATAAGGTGATTCAGATGATGGATGGATGGATGGATGGATGGATGGATGGATGGATGGATGGATGGATGGATGGATGCAATCCTGGGTTAGCTATTTCACCCAATCTGGCTTTTGACCCAGTAGTTTTAAGAGGGCTGGCTTCATTCATTATAAGTCAATTGGAATTTATTTTGTTCTTTTTTTATTTCAGATCAAGACTGTGATTTGTTTGAGATTTGATTTTGACTGGGCTAAAATGTTACGTCGGCATGCCAATATTTCAAAGTTCAACAGATTTTCCAAAATGTGAAACATGAAACATGTACTCATCTACATCTCCAGTGCATCTCATTGTTGTATGTTCATGTAAATGCAGTCAAATCAATCTGCAACAATATAAAAAAATATCAAGAATCATGAGAAATAATGTGCTAGTTTTTTTTAATTCATATAAAGATCACTGTGTTTTGTGCAGTCTATTTAGGTGCCATTTCACATATCCAGTGTAAATGTGAGTTGCAGTTCGCACTGAAGCGAGTCTCCCAGGGTTTAGCTGACGAATAGAGAGTAGCCCCACATTTCTTGTCCTGGTGGTAGTTGTTGGTTTCTCCAGTGATCCAGTACCTTAAGAAAATACACATGGGGACGTCATTAAAGTCCCGAAAATATTCAATCAGTAAAAGCACAAAAATTGAATTTGTCACCTTTGTTCTGATTCTGTGGCATTGTTAACCCAAACCCAGGTTCCCTCCTGTTTCATGTCCGTGACACCGATCCATAGACTATGTTCCCAGAATTGGTAGCCTCTTCTCAGGGATTCACTGATATGACTCACATATGACTATGGAGGCAAAAAAGAGGAGAAACTGTGGCATTCGAAGACAACTTAAACACAGTATGCAATTTATCTTAATCTGGTTATTTGGGGGATAGTTTCCCACGTTTGTGTTTCTGCCCCACCTGCTCGCTTGGGTGATCTATCACAATCAGATCTGCTCCACGCCTGACACAGTCGGCTCGGCTGCCCATCCATGTCTCTCGGCGTTCAGATGAATTAGTAAAAGAGAAGTAATAGCAGGATGAATTGAAATAGGTCCAGCCTTTGTTACACTTGCCACAGGTCCACTCTAGAGGACACAAACACCTTTCGTTAGACATAGTAGTTCAAAACAAAACACTGAATCATTTGTCATGCTGTAATACCCAAAGATGACATGTTGGCCTGCAGGATTTTCCTCTCTCTGCGCAGACTCTCGAGCTGACTCTGATAGGCGTCATTAATGGCCTTCTGCTCAGTGACTTTCACTTTCAGTTTTTCATGATTTCTGGTCACTCTCTTTAATGCATTCACGGCCTCTTGCACTGCCTCCATGGCATCGCTGTGGTTGCCGAAGAGATGGTCCAGCTCAGTAATGAGATGTGCTGCAGCTGGTTGGGAATTTGCGTGGGAGCGTTGTGTGACTGAGCCATCTTTAAGGAAAAACAGAGTGCAGGAATAAGCAGAGTAGATATTCTGCTACAGTACTCACAAAAAGTATGACATATATGGCAGAAGGAGTGGCCATATAAAAGAGAAAGAACTGCATATCGTAAACTACTCTGTATTTTTAGTTGAGCACTTGCTGCTCCTGATATTGAGTAGCTAGCAATTATCAAAAGCAGAGCACTTTTCTGTTAGACAATGCTATGGCCTGACTGAATGAAGCTCCTCCCCTCAGTTCAACATGGTTCCTTTGCCCCAATATGCTTCAAGATGATGCAAAAGCAATATTAGACATGTCTTTAGCCTGAGCAAAAAAAAAAAAAAAAAACAGCAACAAGCTTTCCACCTGCATATACTATGACTTCATCAGGCATCATCAGTGAGTCATAGTCCTGAATAGTTTTATCATACTGTGATTATCTTCTTTTTACACTTGTTTAGGAAGCTCAAACAGTTGCTGCACTCACGACCGATTCCAAGAACAACAGCAACGATGAGCAGAATGACATCCAGTAGTCCCAGACATAATATGGCCATGCGGTGACGTCCATCTGCACCTGTGAAAGTGTTGATCAACAATTTTTTTTAAAAAATAATAAATTAACAAATTACTGCCACAGCTTGTTCTCTATTTTTTCAGTACTGGACTGGTTCTCAAACTGGGGCCCAAGACTTACAGCTAGTGCTGCGCAAAAATAATTTGCATGCTTGCAACTTGCTTGCTTTGTTGTGCTAACTAATATTGTTGGCATAAATATCAAAAAATTATATGTTAAAGTTGTTCCAACTTAAAATACAGTTTAAGTTGTGCATCTGTATAAATTGGCTTTCCCACATTTTCAACAAACAAATGAGCGTTTACAGAATTGTCCCTTGCATCGTTCTCCAACTTGGAGATAAAAGTAAAAAAGAAATCAGCAAAGGGGGTCCTTTGCTGATTTCTTTTTTACAGCACTGTAAAAACACACAGTTTATATTTTGGGGGTCTTGAACTATTTTGTTGTTAAAAATTCATCAAAGTTTGTTGCCTTGAAATTTTGAGTTCACTGAACTTTTTTTTTTTTTTTTTTGCTGTGGAAAGTTGAGAAGAATCATCTGTTTGAATAGCAAATTTAAGCGTCTACTACTTCCTAAAAGCAACAGTGGAGAAAATACTGCACTATACCTTGCCCAAACAAGTCACAGCGAGAGCGAGAGTCTCCGCTGGGGTTGAAGAAAACTTGAGATGACTTTGGCACAAAAGATACACTGCGCTCAGTAGCTTTCGGCTGATCCTCCATTGCTGCAGGAACTGCGTACTAATGTGTTAGTTCCCTGTCTTACTGAAAAAGACTTACCCTCAGCCTCACTGACAACATGCACTCACATTTCTTTCTGAGGATCACATGCTTTAGAGGTGGCTTTCACATTGAGGATCCATAATAACCGTGAATTACGTGAATATGAAAAGCGCTGTGTTATAGTTTATTAGTATTTCTGTCACAGATGAGTACAATAAAGTTTTAAGAATGAATGACAACTGAATTAAAAGAGAACAGCTGACTGACATGGCATATGTATATACAGCAGTGCATCCATTTTTTTTATTTTTTTTGGGTAGGTTGTGAAAAAATTATGAACAATGTGAAACAATGCCCGGAGGTATGCTCGATGTTCATGAAGCAAAATAAATGTGCTTTTCAAGTCTTTCCTTAGACATTTGATGTTGATGTTTTTAGAATTATCTTTAAGCAAAAAGTTCAAAGACTGGACTTGAAAATTCAATGGATGGTCTGCAAAACCATGACACCTTTGAATCTCACTTTAATGGCAACTTTAATTACAATTAAAAGATGATGATGCTTTTGGTTACATTTTTGCCTCAAGGGATAATTAAAGGCATTTTTTTAATGAAGATGCCATAAAGTGAAAATTTTGAGGCATATACTGTATTGAGAGAAATATATGTGATTAGCTGAGTATTTTTTCGTATTATTGCGTAATTCAAATAAATAGCAGACATCAGCAAATATAATATACACAAGATTTTAAGACTTGGGCATCTTGCATAACATCTGCACACCAAAATGCAAACGTCAGGATAAATTACGAGAAGCAAAACTGCAGAATTTATATTTTGCCTGATAGAAATGACTTTCAAAAAACGGTGCTAATCTTTCAGTGTGACAATTTCTGAAATAATAGTTAGCATCAGCTCCAGCTGTCAATACTCTTTTGGCAGTAATTGATATCCACTTTATGGAAAGCTCTTTGAGCATTTATTAAATCTTCTTGATAAAGAGGCTACTTGTGTGGGACATATGCCTACTAGGTCGGTCCAGTCATGTTACTAGTGCAGTCGAGTAATTTACGACTGCGTTTTAATTGCGCACAGGCCGGCTAAGAGTGGCACGAGGTGGGGAGTTGCCAAGCGTGGTCATTGATGCACGCGTGTGTCCGTGCATCATTCTTTATCATACCATCCACAGACAGGGTTTAATGAACACACACACGCGCACGCGCGCGCACGCACGCACAAGAGATATGAAATACAAAATGCTCAATGACAGGTGCTATTTTTTTCCTTCACAGTACAAGCACTATGTAAGTTAATGAAAGAGAGCCTATTTTGTGTGCAGAGATTGTTTTTTCCCTCTTGCCAAATAATTCAAACGAATTATTTAGTAGCCAGCAAAAATTCATCTTTATTGTTGAGCTTTCATAAATTTCAGAGTCTGTTCTTTTTTTTTCACTCGTACCTAAGTAAATAAGTTAAATTAGTACAACTCTTACTAGACTATTTTTACACAAGTATCTCTTCTTCCAAAGGTTGAGTCATTAATTTTTTCGCCTCTGATAATGGATGCGCTCAATTTTAACTTCCGGTTTTGAGAGTAAAGTTTTGTGGTCGTTTCTTTGCCGAGTGTATTTCGCGTGTCAAACAGTTTTAGATAAGCGTGAGCGTGAGACACATTGCTTTATTTTAGTGTCGTGTAAAAAAAAAACACTGTCACTCTTTAAATGTAGTGGCGCTGTCAGCCACGAGCAACGGAGTTCCCGCCTTCACAGGAAATCCGTTTCTCTGACTTGCATCATAAAATACAGCACGCGAAAGTTAAACGTAAGACTTTTATTTTGAAAGTTAGAATTAAGTTGCTCGAACTTACAATTGTATATGTGGTTATTGACGCTTGAACAACTTCAACCCTTTTTTTTCCCCTTCTCGGTTGTTTTCCCCTCCAGTATTGTGCATTTTACAAGTTTATTAGCTTCCCGATTGTATTCGCGACACTGAGATTCTTTTTAACTCTCGGTCCGTGTGACATGTCTGAATAGTGACGCTTTTAGGAAAGGAACGGAGTCTTCGAGTTTTCGAGTCAGGCCTATTTGTGTTGCTTGCCCATCAGTGCTACAGAAATGTCACTGGCCGAGTATGAGAGACATTTCGACTCGCTCAGTTCCGATTTGGTCGGCGGATCTATGCTGAGCGAGCGCTCCGCGTCGGCCACGTTTAATGGCGAAGAGGAGAGGTTGCATTACATTCCCATCCGGATCCTCGGGAGGGGGGCGTTCGGTGAAGCGACGCTGTACAGAAGAACCGAGGTGAGATCATCCAGTCAGTCCACTTTTCTGACTGAGGAACTGTTGACTGGAGAAAAGACACCTAGTCACCACGTTGCCAGGCAACAGTCATCCCCATGGGTATTTTTTAAGACCCCCAGTTTTAGGAGGAAACGCCTATAATGCAGCCTTTTAATGTAACTTGGAACAAGAACTCAATTATTGTAATTAAATATAATTCACGTGTCTGTATTGTACTTTTTAAGGCACCTTTAATTCCCAAATCATTTTCGTGGCTTGTTACGAGATATCCTCTGCAACTCAGGGACCTCCTGTAATGTAAAACAAGTACATACTTTTCCTGTAATTCATATATTTATTGTCCTAAGTGTTAAGTGATTAAAACAATGTTATTTTTTAATGAATATACAGGGTCAGTGGCGATTCTGGCCACCACCCAAAAACGGTGATTTGGCTCAGAGCTTTTACAAAGATTTAGCATGGGTTGCCATAATCGCTTCCATGGAGAAGTGAAGAGGGGAGAAGGATGATGGAAAGAAATAACGAAATTGATTCAAAGCGAGCACGCAACTTAAAATTGTATAAAAAGATATCGTTCAATATAAAAATTGCTCATGGAGACAGCTTTATCTGCGGCTAACTCTCTCTTTGTTTACCAGGACAACTCCCTGGTTGTATGGAAGGAGGTGGACCTGAACTCACTCTCTGAACGTGAGCGCAGGGATGTCATGAATGAAATTAACATCCTGTCCATCCTAGAGCACAACAACATCATTGCCTACTTTAATCATTTCGTGGATAAAAACACTCTGCTCATTGAACTGGAATATTGCAATGGTAAGATATCTAACTCTGCAGATTTGATTGACACTGAATGTGTCTGGAGGCTAAAAAAATTGTCGCCACAGGAGGGAATCTTTATGACAAAATCATCCAACAGAAGGGGAAACTTTTTCATGAGGAGGTAAGAGCAGATTAAATACAAATAATGTCCTCACCCACACGTGCATTTTATCTTCACCCCTTTATTTTCTGCAGGTGGTTATTTGGTACCTGTACCAAATTGCGTCAGCTGTGGCCCACATTCACAAGGCTGGAATTTTACACAGGTGAGATGCTTATGTGACTGCTGCCCCGTCCATCCAAATTCTTTAAGGTTCATCTTTACACTTGTTTCCCCGCAGGGATATCAAAACTCTCAACATTTTCCTGACTAAGACTGACCTCATCAAGCTTGGTGATTATGGTCTTGCAAAGAAACTCGGCTCAGAGTTTTCAATGGCAGAAACGGTACATGTTCATTTGTATCACAATGGAGTTAGAGTTGTTTGAGGTCGCATGTTGAATTTAAGTGTGGAGCTTCATTTAGACCACAGTAGTACAGTATATTGCCACCATATTGTGACATCTTTGTGCCAAGGAACTAACTTGAACTGGGTTGGCTAGTTTCATTAAATAAAAGCAACCCTTTGTCTTGTAGGATCTGTCGAAAGGGGTGGAATTCTTGCACAAAGCCCAATGGGCTTCGTTCCACTTTTTCGTAGTTACTTTTTTTGAATGTTATGGTATTTTTTCCAGTTTAAAATCTAATTGAAGGTCTTACATTTCACATTTTCTGGGATTTGTACCTTGTTCAAGCAATTGCTTGTGAAAGGACCTGGAGCACGAAAAATATTTGCAGTGCGGTAGGTAATAAGATGAATGATGATTGGTCAATTTAAGTGAGTCAGCTCGGTCACAGAAGAAGTAAACTCTAAAGTCAAGGTGCCACAGTATACAACATATACTATGTATGGACGTTGAGACTTATTATAAGCTAACTTTTGTAATTATGGACTTGACATGTTTAGGTGATGCCCCTTTTTTTGTCCCATTTAATTAATTATGCTGATCTCTCAGCAGGAAGTAGTTAGGCTTACACTCTGCTGTCAAACCACAACCACACACGAGCAGGCATGTAAGCAGAGATTTCATCATGATGGGCCGTGCTAACTGTGCTGTGCCCCCGAGATGAGGTTTAGGGCTTCGGTGCCTTGTGTGACTTCTGTGTAATTCTAATAAATTTATTCTTTTTTTTTTTTTTTTTTATGTCCAGTGCGTGGGAACTCCATATTATATGTCACCTGAATTGTGCCAGGGAGCAAAGTACAACTTCAAATCTGATATCTGGGCAATGGGCTGTGTGCTTTTTGAAGTCTTAACTCTTACACGGACATTTGATGCGACGGTAGGTCTCGCATTTATTTAAATGCTTTACCAATATCAATAGATATAGTTTTTGACGAGATGCATTTTGTGTCCTTGCAGAATGCTCTGAACTTGTGTGTAAAAATAGTCCAGGGAAACTGGACCATGGATGTGAACCGTGATGTTTATGGAGCTGGATTGATCAAGCTGGTCTATGAGTGTCTCAATCAAGTGAGTGGTTTGCTGAAAAAATGTATTAGCTGTGCAAAAAGTCTGCGTCTTTGTTGGATGTTACAAATTATATTTTGTGATCATTTTCTGTGGCAGGATCCTGCAAAGAGACCAACAGCCGAGCAGATTCTAGACCAGCCAGTCCTCTCCTTTCGCCGACAGTAAGTGAGAGTGATATTTTATTTAAAAAAAAAATACAATGCCTTGAAAAATAGTTGCTCTCTTCTCAAATTCTGACTTTTTTGAATAGTTTCCCCACTTTAAGATTAAGTGTAAATATTAAAACAAAAATAACCCATACCAACATAAAATGCAGTTTTTAAACTGTGATTAAATTTTTTCAAGAGAAATAAATCTATTCAT